AAAAAAATAATTAAATACTTTGATAAGCAGTTATAAGTGTTTCAATCAATGGACCTATTTCATGTTTCCAAATAAGATTTTCTTCTGATGAATCATCTTTTGTTGATGATGAACCTAAATTTTATTAAGAAAAATTAATATTTTTTGTTTTCTGTACTAAAAATAAATAATTGAAACTAACTAATTCGATGATGTGATGACTTTGGAGTTGATGATGATATTGTACTTGTTGATGCAGTTGATACAGCATTTGATCGTTGATGATTTGATGGTAATGGAGGTTTTGTTTGACTTGAAATGTTACCATCATCCGAACGTACTTGATCTTGAGATGGTTGATGATTAAGTTTTGAAAGTCTATTTATATTAAAATTATAATTATATATATATATATATTTAACATTCATTTGTGTCTATCAAACATATGGTTAAAATAAGAAAATGATATGATGATTTTTAAGGATTAATGTCTATTCAATCTAATATTTATTTTTGGTAACGAAAAAGCAAATCTGAGATCAAAATAATATTATCTAATAATGTTTAAGTGTGAATAATATACCTTGCTGGTGGTTGTGTTGCGACAACAGCAGAACTATCAGATATTCCTGCGATTGAACCTAGTTCATATATTTTTGTTAATAATAAAAATATTCCTTATCTTACCTTTTGAATTTCGTCGTTTAATATCTACTATCTAAATAATTAATTATCTATTAATATTTTTATCATTTTAATAATAAAATGTCTTACTTTACTAGACGTTGGTCGTGATTCAGTTTCATAATCAGTTGATGTCGGACTAATAAAAAAAATTAAAAGAAAAAAATATTTTTCTTTATTTTCTTCTCTTTCTAAAATATTTAAATAATTTACTTAAATGAAGTTGTATCATAATTAAGTTTAGTTAATGTATATCTTGAATCATCACGTGGTGTATAAGGACGTGATGTTGGCATATCTTTTAATGATTGTTTAGCATTATTAATTATTTTCGATGGTACATTTTCTACCCATGCTGGAATTTCATAAAAGGCCATTGGACTATCTTTACTACTTCGACGTTTTGATTGTGTCGAACTTGAATATCCAGTAGGATTTTCTCGGCCTGATGATGAATGAGTACTTCCACCTGGTGAATTACTCATGATAATAATCTAATTTTTATCTTTAATTTTATCTTAAAATAAATAGAATTTTGGGTTCTTCTACACGATATGCACACCCCACAACACATACACACACATGCACAGCGCACAGTGTGGGTGAGGGTGAGGGTGTGTATATCGTGTAGAAGCACCAAATTTTGAATGACTCATTCATAATTATACTACTTATATTTACGAGGAAAAATAAATACTGTGTTTTTATATTTGACAAGATTATCACCATTAATCATGAATAAATGCAAACATTTCCATGGAAACCAAATACTTATCGGATGTAATTTAGGACAAAAAAAAATCTTTTTTATTATTAAAAAAAAGAAATTTTATTTGTAATAAGAATTTTTTTAAAATAAATTTCTTAATAAAAAAATGAAGTCAAATTAAAAAAACAACAATAGGTAAAATATGGATTCAATGGATTGTTTTTTTATTTATTTCATCAGTTCATCGTTTTCGTAATCATAGTCAGTTGATATTATTGAAATTGTTGAAAACTAGCAAACATGGGAAAGGTAAGAATTCTATTTTTGGTTTTTATTATTTTGTTATATGAATTTTAATATTTAATTAGGGTTATGAAAATTATATGTCAAAAAAATGGTTTCATCCAACGAATATTGGAAATATGAAACGTCAATATATGGCTGAACAAAAATCGGCTAATGAAAAACGACGTCAACAAGAATTACGTGAACAATATGAACGTGAACAAGAATTATTTTCAAATAAACAATTAATGGGTGATGAAAAAGCACGTCTTGGTCTTTCTTTTATGTATAATCCACCAGCAGGAATGGCTAAACAAGAAGAACAACAACATCAAGAACAAGAACTAAGACGTGCTGATGGAACATTAATTATTAAAAAAGATGAACCAAAATTTGAATGGCAAAGAAAATATAATGCACCAAGAGAATCATGGGCGAAAAATGATGAGAAAATTCGAGATCAACCTTTTGGTATTGAAGTTAGAAATGTAAGTCTCTTTTTTTTTTTTTCTTATTTTTCTAAATAAAACTTTTTCATTTAAATTATATTTTAAATTTGTAAAGAATAAGATCATTTTTAAATGTAACTCTCTTTCCACTTATAATAGAACATCTTCGACCATCAGACATCTTTTGACTACCAGAAAATTTTTATAACATTAAGAAATATTGATAAAGATTCTGAATATAGTTGTCCTATTTGAAAATCTACAATTGAATTTCTATGTGACATATCACATATCCTTTAAACAAACTGATAAAAATTATTATCTCATTAGTCTTCTTTCTCTTCAATATAAGATGGCAATACCTATTTAAAAAACACTATCTCCAAACTTCCCTGACGTTTTTAATATAAAGACTTTAGAGATATTTATTGTAAAATAAAGATATTTTCTGTTTTTATGAGGTTAAATAATAGTTCGTAGACCGAATATATTCACTATTTCTTTTTTATAAATCCAATAAATTTCAGAAAAATAAATCTTGATTAGTCACTTATTTAAGAGAACAATTGAGAAATGAGTATTTCTTAAGTAAAAATAACGAGACAGTATCCTCATGTGACGGTCTCTGTTGTCAGTTGGCTTTGTACCAGTTTGTAAAGCTCGATGGACTGATCACGGTAGCATAAAACGACTTTCTCCAATAAATGTCTTTAAGAAGTAAAGTCGGTCTTAACTTCAGAAAAAATGACTGTAAGCTGTTGTTTTGAAAATTTTGAACTCGATCAGTCTTAATTGAATGAACATATCTACATAATAAACACAAATAGAAGTTCTAACAAAATTTATACTTTGAATATTTCAATAGCATTAATACTACTGATGTACGAGATTCAATTTTTTTCTCAAAATTTGCAGCAGTGTTGAAATTTATAAAAAAAGGAAATTTTGAAAGTTTCGGAGATTTCAAGCATTTTTGTTCCATATTGTTTGGTAATTTCTGAAATTTATAATATTTCTAAAAGTTTTCGATTTTTATTGCAACGTAGTTATGTAACAGATGGAGATTTCAGAAATGTGAATATACCTCAAAATTTATCTAATTTCAATTGTATGTTCATCTACTTAGAATTATATATTTAAAATACATATTAATCATGCTTCAATAACTTGTCTTATCTATTGTAGTTTTTTATATAAACATACGAGAAAACAACTAAATAGAATTTAGAGACTATTGAAAACGAGACATTTGACAAGTCTTTAGTTAGTACATCTTTAAAATAATTTTCTTAGAGAATCTTAATCAAACTTCAAAAAACAAAATAGCGCAATGTCATACATTGACAATATTAATGGTATATAAATATTTAAAGTATAGATATTATTAGCACTTATGTTCTTATTTATTGCGAGGATTTGTGTAGACAATTAAGACACATTCACTGTTCAAGTTGTTAATGATGAGAACTAAACTAACATAAAAATTAAAATATCCTAAATAATAGCTCACAGACATTCATGTGAAATTGAGATTAACCTTACTATTTAAAGATACACAATGGAGAAGAATGCGTTATATCATGTCATTGTAGTTAGATAATTGAGTTCTACAACCAGATTTAAAGTCAATTGAAAACGAAAACTCCCACTTGATGAGTTTTCCTCGTAAACCAATAAATATATTGAATCTAATAATTCATAATATATTCTCGAAGTCTGAAAGTTTGTTCTTTCCGGAAAACATTTATGCATAAAATTAAATCAAAATGAAAGAATTTCTGATTTTTTTAATACGATAATCGACATTGAAAGATTATTTCTTAGCGAAAGTAACACAAGTCTTAATCATTCAAAATCCCAACAATATTATTAGAGAACATTTAATCGATAGTATATAGGAAAAATTTCTTCAATAATCTAACTAATTCATTTTTTTTTGTTTAGGTACGTTGTATAAAATGTAAAAAATGGGGTCATGTAAATACGGATAAAATTTGTCCATTATATGGAAAATCTCGTTATGATAATGATTCAAATCATCCAATAAGTCAATTAACTCTAACACAAAATATGCCAACAACAAATGAATTAATTGAAGATTTACATACTAAAGGTTTAGCTATGAGACGTGGTGGAGCAGAACATATGATAGCTCATAGTGATATGAATAAGGATATGACAAATCGAACAAAACAAGATGAATTAAAAATAGAATTAAAATTTTTAAAACAACTACCAACACAAATGAAACATCGTCTTGTTAAACGTCTAAAACTTTTAGAAAAACAAGGAACACTTAAAGTTTAATTTTCCTTTTCTTTTTTTTGTTTTCTGAATTTACTCTCGATTGTTTATTTTAAATATATGTGTATCAAACGATGTGTATCTATATATATATATATATATATATCTATATTGCAGATCAATTCTATTCACAAAAAAAATCAAGAGAATTTTTAAAAACTTATGTTTTCAATCCTTATTACTGGTCGATTAGTAAGTATTTTTCAAAAGAATTAATAATTTAAAATATATATATATTTGATAGCCACAAATAAATTTTCAACAAGTAAGCGAAACACAATTTGTCATTCCGATATCGGATGTTGATAATGTTAATCATCTTGTTGTATTCATGACTGGTCAAATACCATTTCCTGAAAATTATGGTGGTGGTGGCAAGTATTATGTAATAATTATTCAATATTTATATTGTTTCTAAAATATTTGTTTATTTTTTTTTAGTTTACTTTAGTTGGCCAAGTACTGAAGGACCATCATGGATTTATCTTGGAAAAATAACAAATACAAAGCCAAGTGCAATTTTTAAAATTAATAAAATAAAAGGTTAATTGTCGTTTAGTTATTTTCTGTAAAATGTTTAAAAATAAATAAATTTTTGTTTCAGACGTTGAATCTAAAATAGGTTCATCATTAATGGCAAGTTTATTCAGTGGATTTCAACATCAAACAGCCATTCCAACGGATGGTTTATTAGGTATAAGTGTTGAACCTTTAATTCAACTTGAACAATATATTCAACCACATGATATAACACCATCAACAGTTGCATCAAATGTTGAATTTGTATCAAAAATGCTTAATAATTTTGTTAATTATGTAACATCATTTGTTCAAAATGTTCCTGGAACATCTGAACAAATTGTTCCATTAAGTATAATTCAAACATGGTATAATAATTTTCAACGACGTATTACTGAAAATCCCAATTTTTGGAAATAACAATATTAATATCAACTTAAAAGAGAAACACTTTTTATTTGTGTTGTTGTTTGTTTTTTTCTACTTTTCTCTTCTGTTAATCCAACCAAAAAAAAAAAAAAACAAAACTGAAAGTTTCTTATTTACAATAGAATATTTCAGATATCTAAATATCGTCCATTTAACTAAATAGAAGAATTAAAAAATGCAACAAACAGACGGAGCACCAACAACAGAACAAATTGAATTATATATTCCAAGAAAATGTGCTGCAAGTAATAAAATCATTGCAGCTAAAGATCATGCTGCTATTCAATTGGATATTGCTGAAATCGATGAACATACAGGACGTATTACTGGTAAAAATCGTACATATGCAATATGTGGTTCAATTCGAATGATGGGTGAAGCTGATGATTCACTTTTACGATTGGCTGCAAGAGATGGTTTTGTTGGAAAAGGATATTTTATTAAAGAATCAAAATAATAGAAAAAAATATCGATTTTCAATAAGCATCAATACAATTCTCTCATCTTTAGTTTTTTGTTTTTGTTTTTCTTGTTTCGATCTTTATTTGTTATTATGCATTAAAAACAAAAACTAACAGAGTGAAAGAGAAAAGAAAAAAAAAATAAAATAAGAAGAAAATCATTGATTAACAAATAATTTATTTATTCATAGATTATTGTAAATAGAGATTATATTTTATAGACTATGTCAAAAAGATTATCTTTTACACACAATATTCAACAAAAAAAATTTTAAAGTACAAAAAGAAAAAAAAATATATTTTATTCATTTAAGATTTTCATTTTTAAAATAAAAAAAATTGTCTAATGAGATATTTTTCATTTGTTTTTTAATATAATAATGNNNAAAAGATTTGTCTTATTCTAACCATTTGAATATCGATTATGGGTGAGCCAGATTTACGGACTTATCCGGCGATGTCCTTTATTTAGAGTAGTGATACAAATTTTGATAATACAAATGAGTTAGAATAAGACAAATCTTTTATAAATATATTTACTTAGGTTTGAAGAATATTAGAACTTTATCGAAATCGTTTATATTCATTGCTTTCAACATCGAATTGCGTCAGAAATTGTTCAATAAACACAGTTATAAACAGAAAATGAATAAGTTTTGCTAATCGATTAGACTTCAATGATATTAATAATTCTCGTCACCATGAATATTTAGGGATTAAGTAATCATCTTAAAATTATAAAAAAATTAATATATATCAACAGATAAAAAAAGCTGATTTCAACTATCATAATCATGTTTTACATGAAAAATGAAGATCATTGTTAAAATATTTCATTTGAAAATAAAATCTGCTCTTTTTAAATAAAGTCACAGGATCAATTTAAGTGTAACCAAAATTGAATTGATTTGCAATAAAATATTCTAAATCCAATTAATACTTACGACTTTTTATTTGTTTCTTATTTAATCTAGTAAGTTTCTTTGAACAATGAAAATATATATGGATTTCATTTAGAATATTGGAAAACATATGAATAGGATTTTATATGACACTACTCGTTTTTAGCAGAGATGTTTCGATGTGGCCAAGATTGGGAAGAGGAACGGTCGACGACTGAGAAAACCACAGTTGGAAGATTTTTGTCAAAGCTGACCTAGTTTGGACCGAGGCTTCAGCGTCCTTTTTTTGTTTTACGAATCAGTGAGCAATAAAACGCTCGAAATTGTCTGGAGAATCAACCCCTCACTCGAGACACCCCTGTTTTTAAGATCTTATACAATGATTAATCATGTTGACTGTTTTCCACAATTAAATCACTCATTGTTGAAATTGTATGTTTCTAATATCGTCAGATGTTTCATTGTAATATAATTTTGAAGTGATCTATTGAGATATTGAAGTATGATAAATTTCAAAATTACTTTTTATACAAAATTTATCATTTTGTATTTACAATCAATCTTTTATTTTATTTTAGTCATTGATTCTTAGCTAATTTTTGTCGTACGATCCTGACTCATGTTGTTTATCTCTTTCTAATAACAAAAGGCAAATATACGTTAGGCAATAGAAATAAATATTGCGAAATTACAATGGTGAATAAAACCATGGATCGAAGCACGTTTTTTTATTCAACTGGCATGGCTGATAAGAATGATTCTATAGCTAACTTTGTCAACGTAAATCGTCGTTTATGGAATGACAAAGTTAATTATCATGTTGTATCACCAATGTATAATGTGGCTGGTTTTCTTGCTGGTACTGATTCATTAAATAAAATTGAAAGTGATTTATTAGGCAACATACAAGGTCAACGTATTCTTCATTTACAATGTCATTTTGGACTTGATTCACTTTCACTTGTTCGACGTGGTGCAAAACATGTTACTGGAGTTGATTTATCTGATCGAGCTATTAACAAAGCTCGAGAGTTAGCTGAAACTCTCAATCTTACAACATCGACAAGATTTATTTGTTCTAATATCTATGATTTACAAGAACATTTATCATCTGATCAAGATGAACTTTTTGATATTGTTTTCACTTCATATGGTGTCACTGTTTGGTTACCTGATATTAATAAATGGGCATCTTTAATTTCTCAGTATTTGAAACCAAATGGTGTTTTTATTATAGCAGAATTTCATCCTGTTGTATGCATGTTTGATGAAATGTTTTCACATATTGAAGAATCATATTTTAATCAAAAAGCAATCATTAGTCAATGTAATGGTTCTTATGCTGATCGTAATGCTCCAATATCGAATTCAAGTGTCGAATGGAATCATAGTCTTAGTGAAATTATTCAGGCACTTATTGATCATGATCTTCGAATTAATGTTCTACAAGAATTCGATTATTCACCACATGATTGTTATCTAAATAGTGTTAAAACAGATGATGGATTTTATCGAATTAAAGGTTTGGAAAAGAAAATACCAATGATATATGCTATCAAAGCTACTAAATCTGTTTAAGATCAATAGTTTTTAAAATATTCATTTGTGTTTCAGAAATATTTTTGTTTAAGATGTTAAGAAAAAAAAAAAAATAAAAATAAATGATAACAACCAAAAGTAGATTATAGCTTAACACAACTCACAAACATATTTTTCTTTTAGCAATTTATAATTAATTTGTGTAAAATGTTTCTACAAAGATATTTTGTATTTGTTATTGATGTCTCATTGTTCGGTATACTATTAAAGGCTTTACTAACTAAATCTTTAATTGTGGTTTATTTGAAGAAAATCTATATTTGCTTGTGTACTGCTAATAATACGGTGTTTAATTGAGTTTAGCATTAAAGTTACATTCTATATTTATTAAACATAACACAACGGATCTTTTTTTCTATTGTACTTGTTATAATAGCAGTCAAGTATTGTTGTATATTTATTTCTGATATCTATTAGGTTTATTATATACGGGTGATTCTTAACATTATTCTTTTTAGATTAATAATATGTTCTTATTCTAATTAAATAAAATCTTTATTGTTATTTTTTTTATGGAAAATAAAATCATAAATTTATTATTCTGTATTAATACTAGTGTAGACATAAAAGATAATGATGCTCTCGATCTTTTTATTCAACAATTTTGTAAATGATCAAATGAAAGAAAAGAAAATTAATGTTTCATATTTTTAGGCATGATAATTGAATCAATTTTTGGTTTCATAAATATTTTGATATTATTGTTGTATCAAAACCAATAAAGATATTCTATTATCTTCAGAATTTAATAACAAAAGAAAATCAAATTCCATCTATGCTTATATCTAATGTAATTTTAAATCGAAAGACAGTTATTGTTTTCATCATCAATTTGATATGTAACCTTTGCATATTTTCACCTAGTTAAGTTAACAAAATATGGTAAATTTTGATTTTCTTTATAAAAAGATAAATATCACTACGCATCTCAAAGCTGACTTGGATAACGTCAATGAATAATCCATCATTTATTATTACTTCTTGTCAAACAAAACCTTAAAACAATATCATAATCGTAAAATAAGAAACTTATGGTGAAATAAAACAGTCGACTATGTAACTACCTAGTAGTTCGTTTAATGTATACGATCGAACGCAATGTCATTCTTTGCTCTAGAATCTAATGATCAGATATATATTATAACTTGAGAACTAAATATTTGAAATTTTTTAAGATTTTATGATTGTTTCATATATTCTTTAGTGTAAAAAAAAATATGCGTTTTAATACATCCTCATACGTGGCTTGATGATATATATTGACTCATTAAAGCAATTCTATTGAGTTAAGATTAAGAAAAAACAAATTGTTTATTGATATTGATTTAAGATGAGGATATTATGACGATTGACTCAACAACGAATATGATGACTCCGAAAGAAACTAGATTTCGTCAATATTCTTACAAAATCCACAATCTTATATTTTTTCGTCGATGATTTTTTTATGATTTGTACAACATTTAAATTCCAATTGAACAATCAACAAACTTAATACACAGTATAAAATTAAATTAAATACAATGAGTTTTATAGCTATTCTTAAGAATCCTCTATTATATATTGGTATCAATCATCAATATGATTATCATGAAAAAAATAGTATTCATTTCATTTTTACAATTACTTGGTACTAATATGTCTATGCTATTTCACTGATTAGTTTTAAAGAGATACTCTTTCGACGACGACGACAGACTTAATTAAAAGCATAAAAAAATCAGCTCACTAAATACTTATTTTGAAGATGTTCCAAAATTTGATAAATGAGTACGTCAACAACATCGTTTACACAAACAATAACACTTTCCAGAATCATTGAGAACCAATTGACAGCCAATGTATAATACAGATAAAAGAAAATCACATATGATGTAATCTTTCATTGAAATATTTTGAATTAGAGAACTGAATAGAGTGATGTTAAACACAATATATCTATTTTTAATAATCTACATAGAGATAATTCATTGATTAGGACTTTACAAAATTAACCAGACATGTTTTGTATAATATAATTGGTGATCAAAATCAGAAAGTTTGTTTTCATATACTGATAAGTAGGATTAAAGTTCGTCCATAAACACCAATTATAACAATATCGTTGTCCATTGTAAGAAAAAATTTTCTAGCATTTCATCGTATTATTATCAAACGAAAAATGAGAAATATGCTCAACGCCAATGAAATGTTTCCCATAATAATGAAATCTACACATATAATCATTTCTTTATAGGATACAATAGTAATCATAACATGAAGTAACTAAGATCAATCGAGTGTAGTGTAGTTATCATTCTTGTGTCTGTATAGATGGACGTCACACAAAAAGAGAAGAATTCTTCTGAAATGAATCAAAATAAATAATATTAATACAACGTGAAAATTTAACAATAAGAACAACAAATATTAAAAAGGTATTGATAAGATTTTCATTAATAGAAAAGCACAGTTGTATTATACGAAGACATATTGTTTCTTCCACGAAAACTCACATAATCATTTCAGTAACATTTAATCTTACGATTCTAATTTTCATCTATTGTTGTTATAACTTTGTTAGAAAAATCATATTCAAATAATATTTTCACAACTATTTTCAATCCATTGGAATAGAAATCTTATTTTTTAATTATAATAAATACATAAGTTTACTATTTACAAATTTTTTGTCTATCATCATTAAGAGATAAAATATTACTTTATCATAAATTTGATGTATATATATATTCAACAATTGTATTGACTACTGAGGATAACATATGAAAAATCTTTTCATATATAGCAAAAAAAAAAAGATGTCAAAGAGAAAGTTTCATCAAAGATTCGTAGAATTTTAAGTTGATCTGGTTCGTTTTTAATTAAGTATAATATGATTATCTGCGAGATCTTTCACGAATAGGAAAAAGAACATGAACTGAACTTAAATAAGTACGAGAAACGCAACGAAACATAAAGATTATATAAATATAATTCGTTAGAAATTATATATATTTGAAAAACAAAAGCAATACTATAATTCCTATGGCAAATGAACTTTTAAGGACTTGAATTTTAGTTAGATCTCTTGATATTATTGAGAAAACAAATTTCATTATACCGTAAATTATTCTCAAATACTTATCTAAAAGACACATTAAAAAAACCAATGATCAGAATGAAGCTTAGCTGACACCAAATCCCTGTACTAGTCAACGTAGTATTAGATAATACATCAAAGCTATCTATCGCTAAATATACTACTATGTCAAGTGTAAAACTAATTTATGTTAAAAGAAGCATAAGTGTTACAAATATGCAATGTGATTACACAAGGCTATACAAGAGGTCAATGTATTTCTCTAGAAGTTAATCATCGTTGTTGTCGAACAGTATGAGCATAGATAAACACCCTCTATAAGGTGGACGATGTCAATATATGGGAAAAATTGTTCTCAAAACTTGTTTAAAGAAATGAGTGGAAGTTTGAGAGATCCAAAATCTGTCACTATAATGAAAAACTTTCCTTCATAGAAGCTGTTTTGATACTTTCAATCAAGAAATAAATCATAGAAATTGTACACGAAACTTATGCTCTTATTGATACAAGAGAAACATTTCTTTATTCATATTAGAAAATAAAAAATTTTTCTATAAGTAATAGTCTTCGAAAAGTTCCACAAATTTGAAATACTTTCCTCAACATTCGTTGATGCGTACCAATTGACTAAGCTTATGGATGTTTCACCTTGTTTTACAATCAATAAAAAAACCAACAGTAAAAATATCAGAATTCTCATCAGAGTTTTCGTTTAATAAATATCTTAGAAAGTATTCTTCATCAAGATGAAGGTTTATAGAATCATGAATAATAATACGATAAGAATTTTTTATGCATGAAGATATACGCCTACAAGAAATATCAGACAGAGACAAATATGAAATGGCTTCGTCTGTAATATATGGCTAAAGTTTGCTTGGTGATATTCCTTTCGATATCCACTATACTGCGACATCTATGGTATTTGACACGATAAAACAAAGGTTTGTATTATTTTATTTCCAAACCGTTTTTATTCATTGAAATATATTATTCTAGATATTAAAAAGAGTCAAACGAGTCATCTAAAAGGTCATAATGGTCGAATAATTATCCAATAAGATGATTTTAACCTTAACATCCGTTTTTCTCCTCCTCCGTCCCTACATTTCACCTGTTTTCGTTGTTTATTATTGCGTCTATCGTTGAGTTTTTTTATTTATTATCCTCACTAAATCAATACCATAAAATTAGATTTGATTAAGTAAAATCTAATATTGATCATAAAAAAAAAAAAGTTCTCATTAACATTTTATAGTTAAGGGCAATGTGATGAGTTCTTCGACATCGAGTCGATATCGAGAATCAGCTGCAGTGACAGCACCAACTAAAGTTCATGATCAACACAGCACGTCGTTTGCTGAAGAACATGCACTTGATGCTATTGCTAAAGAAGTTTGTATTTGACTATTTTTCTTTTAATTAATTGATCTTTATTTATCTGTTATTTATATCAAGGCCGAACTTCGTTTGCAAAATCAACGTGAACAAAATCGTGAAGCGCGTCAATTACGACATAAAGAATTAGAAAAAAAAGCACGAGATGTAAGAAAAAAGAGTTTTTGTTTTTCCGTGTTTATCTTATTAGGTTTTTTTTTTATTTATCTTACAAATTATTTTGTTTTAAATATATAAAGGATACATCTGCTGCTGATTCTGACTTAAATAAAAGTGATCAAAATAAACATGAGGAGGAAGAAGAAGAAGAAGAGGAGGTGATTATATCACTGTGATAGAGTTTGAATAAAACTTATAGATATGTAGTTGAATTCTTCTTAATTATTTTAATTTCTCAATTCTAATTCTTTATGCTTGATTATTAACAAAATTCGTATATGTTTTAATATTTATTATTAATTTGTTTGTTTATTACAATTTTTAGGATGATGGCGGAGATTCAACATCAACTCCGGTTACTCCATCGACACCTATGAGTTCAAGTCGGGTAAATATTAAATAATTATTTGATTTATTAAAAAGAATACAATTGATGTGCTTTTTTTAGTCTCGTATAATGAATATTGATGGAACAAATAATAATGCTATGGGAGCGACAACAAATTCATTATTATTACAAAAATTTCTTAATGGCGATACAGATCTTCGCTCAATTGAGCAACGTGATTTACGAGTATGTATTATTATCTTTGTTTTTGTTTTATAAATAATTGAATTATTATTATTTTTTCTTTTATTTAAGCGTCTTTTAAGTGAACTTGAAACAAAATATAAAACATCGATGATTGCAAATTCAAGCATGTATAATGAAAAACAAGCATTACGGTATCAAGTTGATACATTTAAAGATATATTAGATGAACATTATGAAACATTAAATCAAGCTAAAAGACAACTCAAAGAAAAAAGCAAAGTAACAAACATTTTTATATTAATTTTAAATCTTCATTTTCTCGAATCTAGATCATTAGTATCATTCTACTCGAATAATTATATATATATATAAAGATAATTTTGATTAGTTCTATTGATTTTTTACTTAGGTCTCCTTAATTTTTATACAAAAAATTATCTACTAGATTTTAAAGACAAAATTTTTAATAAATTGATCTTATAAGTTTCAAAAAGTGCATTTATTTATTAAAAAGAAATAATATGGTGATAATCGAGAAATAGACTTTAAATAGAATATTTTATTGTGAAGATTACAGATCTTTTGATTTGCTTCTATCTTTAAATAAGAACATTGAATCGAATAATTTAAATGAAGGACGTCAAATATATACTTTTATCATAATCGTATCTTAACATAGAAACGATAAAACAATTTGAAACGTTCACCAATAAACTATTCTATTTAAGATTTATATCTTAACTAAATTTCAAATTGAAATTTCTCAATTAGAAATCCATATCCTTTACATCTCTATTTCCGATGTTTCTAAGAGAGATCATAGATTTAATTTAAAAAAGATACCTTTAAAATGTACTATCTCAACAAGAACAAACTAAAAATATGAACTCTTTTCAGTGCATTCATAACTCATCAGGATCTACATGATAGATATTATTCCTATTGAAAATCTAATGAGACTTTAGTTGTTAGTGCTAAAGAATTCTAAGATCTAATGAAGAATTTTTTTTAATTATGAAAATAAAAAAAAATTGTTATCCATCCGAATTCTACTTGGACATATATACGTATGTATAAAAATGTTTAATTATTTATAATATGTGAAGAATGAGAATAGAACAAGTGAATAATATGAATCTATAATAAAATGTCAATGAAATTCTTCATTTGATTTATTTAAGGATTTTGATCTTCAAAAACGAACTTTAACTGAACTTCAACGGGAACATAATCAATTAAAAGAAATTCTAGCACATCGAGAAAAATTAATTCAAGTAATTTTATTACTTTGAAAAAAGAATAAGAAAGAAAATTTTCTTGTTTTTCTTAATATAAAAATTTAGGAATCTGGAATGCAATTATTAATTGGTGATGAAGTTGTTCGAAATAACAGTGAAGAAAAATTATCATCTGTTTTTCCAACTGGTATTGTTTCTCAAGAAACATTAGCATTACTTAATTCACTTGGAAAAGGATCTATTGATGAAAAATTAAAAAGAATTTTAAATGAAAAACGTGAACAATTTGAACAAATTGTTAAATTAAAATCTGAATTAGATGAAGAAAAAACTCGTTTACGTACACTTGAAAAACAAATACCAAAATTCAATGATACAAATCAAAATGTTAATAGTCAAACAGATTCTGAACAACAAAAACAATTAACCAAAGAAATAACAGATTTAAAAAATCGTTTACAACGTTTAGAAGCTGATAATTTATCATTACAACAAGAAGTAAATATTTTTTGAACAAATAATTAAGTTTATTTGTTTTTTTTTTATTTATTAGAATAAACGATATGATGCTCAACTTAAACGACATAAACAACAAACAGATGATGCAGAACGTGTTGAAGAAGATCTAAAACAAGAACGAAGACGATTACAACGAGAGGTAAAATTTTCTTTTTATTTAGTCTTTTCCCAATCAAAAAAACAAACAAAGAAAATATCAGTTATATATGTTCTGTCCAGGCACAGAAAAAAAACGTCCTTTCGTAGTTTTGTTTTTTTTTTTTTTTTTTGTTTTTATTATTTTTGTTTTTAATTAAAACTAAGTAAAAACATATTATTAATAGTATCGTGATATGAAATCACGATATGATGATTTACTATTGGAAAATCAACGTTTACAAGATCGAATTGATTCAATGGAATTTGTTCGAAGAAATTATAATTCATCATCACGACAACATATAAATTCGTCAGCAAGTGGAACAAATTCATATTTACCTCCAACACCATCAAATAGATCTGCACGTGGTCCATCTGTTTCTCGTTTTACATCTGTTGAACGAGAAATGGATTTACCAATTCCACCACCATATAGATCACGTGAACCATCTGTAGCTCGACGAAATTCACGTGATTATTCAAATGATCGTTGGTCAACAAGACGAGATTCATCATCAATGAGTCAATATGGTGACAATGAATATACAACGAGTAATAAACGTCGACCAGATCGTTGGTCGGCTGCGAATTCTCCCAAAACGAGTTCACCTAATTATAATTTTTCATCACTACCAGGTAGAATCTACCTGCACGTGAATGAATTGCATGACTTTGCCTTTTTCATTTCATTTTATTGGGTTTGCTTTATTTTGTGTGAAATTCTTCACCTATTTGTTTTCTATTGGCACAATTATTTTTATTTTAAAATGATAGATGAAATGAATGTGTTTGTTGAATTTATTTTTTCTATGTGAACTTCCCTTGAAAGTTGAACAGAAAAACTTTTATATTGAAGTTCTCATTGATCTAACTCTTCTAGTAGAAAAATATTGAAGAGTTAACAAATTAAAGATATATCTTTATGGATACTCATCTAACCTCTTTTTTGACCATTTCTAATTCTCGAAGAGAGTAATATAATCGACTAGATTGAATATTAATATATCATAGATAGAACACATGGAATGAGAAAACATATTCGAGTACATTACGATCTTCATCAAACTTTAATTCGATTCGACCGAAAATTTTTCTTTTTTGAGATACCTCAGAAGTATTCTTGAATTTTTTTTTGAAAATCTGACTTTCTTTTCTTTTTATGAGAGAAATACGTAAAGGTTCAGACTGAAAACCCAAAAATGAAAACAGTCAATTTTACATCTGAAGGATACTTTCAAGTATCTTTGGTAAAAATTTCAACCCAGTCGGACAATGTTAAAGGGTAGTTGTAAGCAATCAGGATGAAGAAACCTGATGTTTTATATTACGTTTAATAAAAGAAAAGAATTTTAATATAAATATTATGAAGAAAAAAAAATTCTTAAATTCAATAAATCTGTGATAATAAACCATTTAGAGTTGAATGATGTATCTAATTAAACCTGACACTTGCAGCTATCATACTTTATTTCCATCTCGAAATCAAGTTTTTGGTCAAAAAAGAGAGCGAGAAGGGGATGCCATTAGTTGAATAATAGTTATTTTTAGCCTTGTTGTGTGTGCATAATGATTGATGAGAGACGCATGTCTCAATGTTTTTTTAGACAATTTATTTTATTTATAAATAATGAATTTAATTTTCTATTTTCTCTTTTAGCTTCGCGTCGCACGTGAAGACTTAGAAAATGAACGTACACGCAGCGATGTTCTACAACGTGAGAATGAACGTTTGCGTACATTACGTAAAAAAACTTTGCTCAATAATACTGAGGATAATCTTGTTGTATCAGCAATAGTTTCAAGATCACATACAAATTCACCATTACCACCAGCTATTTCTTCTTCTTCATCTTCATCTATTTCAACTTCATATGATCTTCAATTAAATCCTTCAATACATGATCCTACTTAAAATTTTTTGTTTTTCTCTTCTTAACTTTCTATTGCTTTGTTTTTCTTCTTCTCGGTTTTTTTTTTCTCTCTTTATCTCTTTTACTTTCATTTGTGATGTCCTATAATCTGTTTGTTATTATTTATTTTCTGCTGACTAGGCATGCATTCTTTTTGTTTTCGTATTTCTTCCTGTTCTTTTTTATTCTTATTATTTTGTGTGAATATGTACCTTTTTTCTTTTCAAGCCCAATGTATGCACACACACGCAGAAGCTGCTTCTCTCGCCATGTTCACTTTCTTTCTCACTTTTCTTTTCCTGATTTTTTTTCTTTGTTCTAATAAGCTATACATATATAGGCATGCGTATTGAACTCAGTATTTTGAACTAAGCGAGACAAAAACAAAAAAAATAACCGAATAAATATGATCGTCCGATTTATGGAAATTTTTATTTTTTTATTTCACTTAAATCAAAAATAGAATTTATTGCAATGATATTTTCGATTGACTTTACATCTCATAATAGAGAAAAGATAGAATAATAATTGATAATAATAAACTATGTTACTCAAATTATTGAAGATTCTAACAGAGATGATAAATTTTTTTGAAGTTCCATTCGTTTAGAGTATTGTGTTTAGAAAAGAGTCACAAAAAAGATAATTTTTTTGAGATAGATGATAAAATAGAACATATTCCAAAGTTTGATTTATTCAATGGTAAGTTTTCATTTAAAAACTAACTAATTCTTTTTTCTACTGAAACAAGTCTTAGTAATCAATTTATTGGTAAATTCAATTATTGTACAACAAATTATTTTTTCTGTTTAGGTGTTTTGTCAACAATCAGTTCAATCAAAAGTTTCAAGTTGAAACAATATATTATTGTTTTCTTTCTTTGGAATTATCTCAACAGCCAAGAGTGATAATATTCTTCATAAAAGAAATATTATTCGGGTTGTTGAATTTATCTTAAAGTTAAATTTCAAAAGTAAGATAAATAAAAAATGTTCTGTGATTTTTTAACAGTAAAGTCTCACAACTTTTCTTCTAGAAGAGAGGAGATAATGCTTTGTCTTGTGGAAATCACGACAAGTATAAGAAAATGCAACTATAAATGAGGTTGTATAGATTCATTTAAAATGATCTTATTACTCAGTCTCACTATCAAAGAATTAAATTCGATTATATCGCACAGTGAGATTTTTCAAAAGAAAATTTGATCAAATCAGCAGAAATAGATAAAGTGTGTTGCATAGACTATTTCTTATTAGGATAAAATCATATTCGAATGTAGGAAAAAAACCGTTTCGAAATAAAACTGTATGATATTAAAATTTTAAAAAATTGTTCATGACCTCGATTTTTACAGAATATTACCGGTATATCATCGATACTTCTGAACAGCGTCGTGTACTGGAGATAGTATAAACAAAGGTGTGACATGAAAATGCAGTGAAATATAATTTTGTATAGTCAATCTGAAATGTTCAACCTTGTCTACTAACTACGGTCATCATCAACAGTAAAGATATTACTTGTGAGTGTGCGTCTTATTATTATATTAATATTATTTAAGTTTTCTTTCAGACTTCCATCAGATACAATAAAAAAAAATTCATTTTCATATTCTACAGATATATTTTCTTACGAAGCTATTAATATTTCTATGTTGTCAGATTTGAGAATAAAAATGATTTAATTTTAATAGATAATTATTTAAAACTACTCGGTTTTTCTTTTTTTTATCGAAGTAATACTTGAATTTATTTATGTATTGTTGATTTATTTATAGAACACGATAACAGGAATACTAAGTGGTAGATGACTAGATTAGGATACATACAACAGTTAGAACGATGAACTTATCATTGGAATAAAAATTCCTAAGAATCGTTTGGAAAAATATTCAAAAAATCATTTCGATCATGTTGTGCATATATCTACAAATCGTGATCTAACAATAATGAAATACGTATTATGTTCGACATTCATATTGATTGAAATAAATTTAGAAAAAAGAAATCAATTCATTTGAAAATTTCGATAGTCAAAATAATGAGTAATAGTTTATGTTTTACAAGATATTATCAAATAATTCTTGTTTTACTTTTTCTATTATAGACTTTTTGCTAAGGCTTATTTTCTTTTTTTTGTTTTTTTTTTGTTTTGACTATATGTTTTCTATCATATTTCTGATAACAACAGTTGAAAGGATAAATGCCGTTAGTCAACAAGAAAACTCTGTTATTTATCATTGTTGATTGGCAACAGTTATTTTTCCTGATATGTATCTCAATTCACTTCAACGTGTAATAAAAATATAAATAGCATTTTATTCGACTTTTATTTTAAAAACTTTCAATGCTTTGGCAAAAAGAAATGAGCAGATTAACTTAATGTGTGATGTTTGAAAGAAAGTATATTGATAAACAAACGATGAAATGTTCTCTTATTCAAACATAGTCAACTTGTTGAAGCGTCTTTTGAAATTACAAACGTCATATTAATATTATTTATTTTTATTTTAAATATAAAATATTTAAATAAATTATTCGTTTCAAATCTTTCATTTTTTCTTTATTATTAATTTATTTTCTATCGATTATAATATAAATATTTAATGAAAACTAAAGATAATTTGATTGAAATTGTACTCAAATGTAAAATACTTCATATAAAATAGTTTTTCTTCTCTCTAAATGTTCTTGAAGTAACCCTCGATAATTTTGTTATTATTTATTTCGTCAACTTAATAATATTGTGTTTTGTCTTCTATGTGATGTGATCTTCTTTCGATAATCTCTTTTTATTCTGCATATGGTGTGATCATTGTGAGATATATGATATTGTTCAACACATGGCGTGATCCTACGAGTTCATAGATAAACACTCACACATTTTTCTTTCTTTTTTTTTGCTTTATTCTTCCTCTCATTCTTCTCGTTCTTCTTCTTTCCTTGTTGAACTTGTACATCTCGTCATTTTTTAATGAACAATTATAATCAGTACTAACACTAAGATATCAATATGAATTCAGACACTCTAGTGAAATCTGAAACAGATCTAAAATAATCTTAATCCTTAATGTTAGTTAATGTTCACTATTATTATAAAATTTATTTCCTAATCAATGCCAGTTTTTTAGACTTAATGTACATGTTCATCAGTATCTCGAACACTGTCATTATTATATTATGTATAAAATATGCCAATAATCTTTTAACTATTTATGAAGAGAGTGTAGGTATCAGTGTACACATTCATATCTAATAAATCTGTTTGAGAGTTTGTATAGTTCGTATGACACTGATGTTCACTTCAAAAAGTGATGCTGAATGATTTTGAAGAATAATTCGCGATTTTAATAAGTGTTCAATCATTGAATATAGGAATTAATCTGTCATGAAATGAAAAATATCTCTTTGTCCATTGTCATCTAAGTAAAACTATCCAAATATATTCGAAATAATTCACTGAACGAAGTTCAAAACGAGTTTAATCGGTTAATCTATTTTTAATGATTATTGCGAGTTTTGTTATCATTATATTTAATATCATTTATATAGTAATGTTCAAAATGAGAAGATCAGAAATTTATCAAAATTCGCTTAAAAATTCATTGTTTATATCTTAAGATGCTTTTAACTATGCGAGAAAAGATCATAAAAAGCGTAGTGATCACTTACATTGATCAGAATTTCGTTCTCTTTCAAGTAGAACTCTTAAAATCAAACTCCTTCGAAGTCTTCTGCTACTTGAAAAAAACTTTGTTCGGGTTTTTTGGAAAACTTTCTTACATAGTTCATCTATGAAATATTTGTATATAGTAGATCTGATAGAGAACTTTATTGGTTATCTAAATCACTTCTTTGAGTTGAGTTAGGTGCTCCTTATCGCAAAAAAAAAATCAAAAATACCTTTCTTATAATATTGAGCTGTACTGTACATTGATTTTCTTGAAGTATTATTTCTAATTGATATCGCTTATTAGTATGAGTTGAAAGATAAAATTTGAATTGAACAATGAATGGTTTCTGCTCAACAGTCGATAAAAATAATGATATTACAGAACATGAACCATGCTATAAAAAACACCTACTAATAAAATATACTTCATATGGATAAAAAAAATGACTCGAATGTAATTATATCTTTTGTAAAAATGATTTTTCATTAATAAGTTTCAAACATCAATTGAATAAGTGTAAATTCGATTGTCTAATTTAGTACAATATACGTTTCGTTGGTGGTTAATGCATACCAATCGTTAAATGAAAGATGTATTGTTTTCTTAGGAGATATTAAATAAGAATAAAAATTATTTAGAAAAAATAAAAACAATAATATGAATAGATTTCTACTGAACGGAAAAAGAGATCATTTGATAAAAATGAACATGGCAAGGAATAGATTTCATTTCTTAAACATGAAGAAGAATATCGAATAAATGAATTAAATAAAAGATCTTTATTATCGTTGATAGAAAGTAGAAAAGAGGCATCGACATATAGATGTGTAATGACGAAATTTGACAATAAACGTTTTCAAATTAATTGAGAATTTTTATAATGGATTGAAGAATGATCAATAAAAACATTTTGTTCACAAAAATTTGAGAGAATTTATTATGAGATTATAGATTCATCTAAATCACATGATAACATTGATAATGACATTATTTATTGTATTCAACGAAATTATTTCTACATTTCTCAAAAAATAGATTCTTTGTAAAACGAACTACAAAAAAATGGCTATTACTTTTATTGATTAAATCTATTTATAAGTAAATTAATATAGATAACCTACGATGCATATGTATCTGCACAAATATTGAGGTATGTTGGCTTTAAACGAAAAGTGCCAGAAGTCTAGTTTTTCTCATCCACGAATAGAGCAAAGTCTGTACTTTAAAATGAATATTCCGAGAAAAAACTAACGTGTAGTTTAAGACTTAAAATTTTGAATTTTTTAAAACGACTAAAAATGGTCTTTATAACCAGGGTAAATTTGTAGATTCCTTTATATATTCACTTTGTGTTAATTTTAATTCTTTAAAATGGAATATAAATTTTGCTTAACTTCGTAGGTTTAATTCCAAAAAAACATTAAGGTCAAACACATTTGGCCCTGTCGAGTTATAAAAGCGTCTGGTTTGTGAGAAAATCTGCATCAAGTGCTGTTTTGTACGCGTTTTGTATTTCGTCACTCATTAGCTTAATGCAATGTCTTTTTCTTTTGTTTCATATAGATCTTGTAGGACTTGAACAGCTGCATCTTTTAGACACCTTTTAGAAATTTATAACGCCACAAATGTTCAAAATTTTTGCGAAAAATCGTGAAATCTACTTGTTTTGCTTTAAATGCTAATTACTGATTACTATGAAAACGCAGAAAATTGGAGAAATATTTTTTCAGAAAACCTAGCGTCCACAGTCTACTATATTCAAGTTTGAACTCGCTCTCATCTTTTTCAGTCAGCATAATGCAAGTTAAAACATAGAAAACTCCGAAAATAATGACAAAGTAATAATTCATTTTTAGTTGTTTTACAAAATTCAAAATTTTACCTCTTACACTACACTCTAATTTGTTTTGAAAATATTCATTTTAAAGCACAGACTTTGCTCTATCTGTGAGTGGAAAAATTAGACTCCTGGCGCTATCCGTTTAAAGATCACGGACCTTGACATTTGTCCGGATGCATATGCATCATGGGTTATATACAATGGCTTTTGTAAAAAAATGCTAGACTAATTTCAATTGATCCATGTCTTGTATAATGACTAATTATGTATGGAAAGAAAGTTAAAATTCCTAATGAAAGTTAGATTATTACGTTTACTTGAAATTATTTTCTATTTTCAAGCTGAAATTTGGCTTGAGAAAAAAATAATTTCTTTTTTTCTCATTGAAACAAAAAAAGCAACACAGTATTCACACAATGTTAATCATTACCACGTGGCTACTTTTAATATTTGATATTCTTTTTTTGCTTAATACTTTTATCATTAAAACGAATGCGCACCTAATAATCCAAATAAAAAGAAAAAAAGATTAGTGCTTTTTTTTTAATATTCGTTTCTACAGACGATTCAAATGAGACTGTTTTTCTCGTTCTAGTAAAAAAAAATTACCTCTATATAAATTATGGTAAACCTGAGTCAGTCGAAAAATAAAAATGTCGAAGAACGATATATTAAAGTAGTAAAAGAAATCATATGGTCGTAGTGTTATGAAGTAAGATATTTTATTTTAATGCTAGAAATATCGCAATAATATTCTAGAGAAAAATATGTTTTTGGCGAAGGCAGTGTGAATGTGGACCAACTCTTACAATAAAAACCAAGAAAAAAATATTTTTTTACACATTGTTTATACGAGCAAAATCTCTCCTCACACATTGTTTTCGTTATCAAAGTGTATAAAAGTCTAGATTTTTCACAGTAATAAAAACTATACGTAAGCAGAAATCGAGATAGAAGAATAAGAGTTATATCCAACAAACGATAGAGTCATGTACAAGAGTAGTGGCAAAGCAAGGAATTAGATTGATCTCCTCTAAAAACCTTTGATTCTCCTCTAGAACTGAGACCATCCTATATAATATGAGAAGAAAATATCTTCTTTTCAGCTTCAAATGAAGGCTGAGCCTTCCCTCTTCTACGAATTTTTTCTCATTTCTTTACAACATAAAAAATCACAATCTAAGCATAATACTATATACAGCTTTTAAGGATCCCAATATGAAAATGTGAATTTCTTTATCAAATTGTACTATGTACACTCTGTTTTTCTCAGTAATGTGCGAAACAATATGTATTTGAGAAGTAGCAGGTGTTCTCTGCATTTCATTTTCGGCTTGGTACACTTGCTATGGTAAGTGCTGATTTGGATCAAGAGCAGATCTACAACCAAGCCTCCACATTTCACGCCTTAGATTTCTATTAATTTCAATTATTGATAATGTGTTAGATTAAGTTTATACATACAATATATATTTGTCTACTCTCATGATCAGTCACGTAATCGACCGAAAACATTGATGATAAGTATAATTAATTATGTTTATCAACTGTTAGTGTCTTCTCTCTTCATATGTTTGAAATATTTTGTTCCCGTAGCTAACTTTCGTAATTTCAAAGAGTAGAATGCTTTTTTTCGACAATTTCCTTCCAACATTTTTATCTTTGACGTTATTCCGATAGGGCACATCTACAGATCAGCGACACCACGACACTCACACTCTTTAATGTGCTCTGCCAATTAGAAACATTAGTGTCGAAGGTGTCGTCAATCTGCAAAAAAGGCCTTCAGGTGACTCATTAACTAATATAAAGTGTGTTGAATTGTGTGCTTTCTTTTTTTTTGTAGTAATTAACATCGAAAATATTTTTATTCTTCTTTCAGAATCAATATTTCTTTATTGATATAAAAAATGAAAACATTTACATGTTGTTTTCTATTGGCAACGGTGTTAACACTATCATATGAAAAATCAATTTCTACGAAGAATAATATTTTATCAATATCTGATGGACTTTCATTTGGTTTTTGTCGTAGTTATTGTCATCAATCAATAAATATAACATCAACTCCAAATCAATTAGTTGCTTTGAAAGAACCAAATTATGCTCAAGATACATATCCACCCGTGAAAAAAGTTTTTCCTTTTCCTTTGAATCAATGGCAAGAATTAATCAATTTTATTGATGCTGAAGGTTTTCAATCCTTAGCTGATCGTATTGGATGTCCTGATTGTGCAGATGGTGGAGCTGAATGGATTGAAATACAATGGAGTGATGGAAGTAAACGAGTTACATTTGAAAATGGAGCTTTAATAAAAGGTTTTGAAGGACTTATTGTTCAATTAAGAAATATAAGAAGTAAATATATTGAAAATCTTTGAAAAGACATTGTTTGAATTTTATTAAAAATAAAAATAAAATAATTTTCATCATTATCATTAAAGTTTTGTTCCTAATTAAAAGATCTTACATTGAGTTGTATTGTACAATTTCAATAATTAAAATATATGTTTCATCTGTATTCAATAGATATCAATCATCAGATGAAAGATGAATAGTTTCTTTAGGAGACATAAAATAAGGATAAAATCCATTTAAAAGAAATAAACAAAAATGATATAAATGGATTTTTACTGAACGAGATAAGCAATAGTTTGACGAAAATAAATATAACAAGGAATCAACTTCATTTATTAAACATGAGAAATAAAATGATTAGACAAGCAAATGAAAGATCTTTATTATCAATCATTGAAAATGTAAGAGAATAATTTTGATAAATAGTTTTCTAATGGAGAAAATCAACATTGAACATTTTTGAATTCATCGAAATCTTGTTAAATTGATTCCATAGTGATCAATAAAAATACGTTCTTCACAAGAATTCAAAAGAATTAACGATGAGATTATACATTTATCGAAATCGCCATAACAACATTAATAATGAAATTATTTATTTTCTGCAAAGAAAATATTTTTATATTACTTAAAATAGATTCTATATAAAGCGAATAAAAAAAATTGTTTTTATAGATTAAATCTAATTATAATTAAACTAATATAGAAGATACATAGAATCTCTATAGTAAAAATGCTAGGCAAATTTTCAATTGAATCATATCTTCTATAATGACTAATTGCGTAAAGAAAGGTAAAATTTCTACTGAAAGTTAGATTATTGAGTCTGTTTGAAATCGTTTCCAATTTTCAAGATGAAATTTGGCTGGCGAAAAAATAATTTCTTTTTTTTCTAATTCGAACAAAAAAACAACAACAACAACAGCAACACAGTACTCGCAAAATCCTGATCAATATCGCTTGACTGATTTTTTTTGTATTTGGCGACCTTTTATTATTAATGCTTTTATCATGAAAACAAATGTACAGTTAGTGATCCATATCAGAAAGAAGCAAAAAAAAATTGTTTATTGTTTCAACTCGAGTTTCTAAAGAATACGCGAATGATGTTGTTCTTTCCTTTCTTGTAAAAGCATTCGTATCCGTTTAAATTATGTTAAACTTGAATTTAGTGGAAAAATAAAAATATCGAAAGATGATACGTCAAAGTAGTTAAAGAAAAGATATTCCTGTAATCTTATTAATAAATACTTATTATTTTAATGTTAGAAATATAAAAAAATATATTTTAGAAAAAGAAATGTTTTTTGACAAAAAGTATATGAGTGTGAATTAACAGTGGATTCACAACCACACCTACACACTCTACATCCTTGATCTCTACGAATTTCGGTTATCGATGACGTCTTTGATTCATTTCCTACATAAAATATGTTTATTCACTTCTATATGGATTAACGTTTTGTTCCCCCGCATAGCCAATTACGAGAGCCACCAATAATATTAACTACAAGTATACTTGATTACGTCAATCAATTGTTAGTGTCAACCCCTTTCATATATTTGAAATATTTCGTTGTGGTGTCTAACTATTGTAATATCAAACAATAGGACGTTATTTTTTTTGTTTTTGGATATTTTTATCTTTTGATATTTTTATTTTCAACATTTATACAGTCGACATTCTACCTCCGATAATTTTAGTTGTGACGTGCTTCATACGATTCATAGACTATATAAAGTATGTCGAATCATATGGTTTATTGCTTGTAGTAATCAACATCGAAAATATTTTTATTCTTTTTTCAGAGTAAATACTTCTTGATTCACACAAATAATGAAAGTATTTGCGTACTACTTTCTATTGGTAATAGTGTTAGAACTCTCAAACGGAAAATCCACTTGTTCGAAGAATAAGATTTTATCAATATCTGATGGACTCTCATTTGGTTTTTGTCGTAGTTATTGTGGTCAATCAATAAATATAACATCAACTCCAAAGCAATTAGTTGCTTTGAAAGAACCAAATTATCCTCAAGATGCTTATCCACCTTTGACACAAAGTTTTACTTTTCCTTCGAATCAATGGCAAGAATTAATCAAATTAATTGATGATGAAGATTTTCAATCCTTAGCGGATCGTATTGGGTGTCCTGATTGTGCAGATGGTGGAGCTGAATGGATTGAAATACAATGGAGTGATGAAAGTAAACGAGTTACATTTGAAAATGGTGCTTTAATAAAAGGTTTTGAAGGACTTATTGTTCAATTAAGAAATCTTAGAATAAAATATACTGAAAATCTTTAAAAATAAAAATAAAATAATTTTCTTCATTATTATTAAAGTTTTGTCAATAATTAAAATATCTTACATTTAACTGTGTTATTCTATATAATCATTTTCCTAGTAATGGAATCTATAAACTTTGATTTTCTTGAGTTTTGTTTATTTGCTAAATTGTTTTTTTGTGCTTCGAAATAAAAATAAAAAAACATATTTCAAGTAAGATATTAAATCAAATTTGTCAATACATAATTGTGGAATATTTTCAACTCTGCATTAATGTGCAGAAAATTCTCTGCAAATGGCTTCATTTCTTGATGTAACATTATCGTATTGTTCAATTTAAATAGTTGATTGTTTATAATCATAATTATCCTTTCATGAAGCCAATCAAATGAATTCAAGTGACATATATATATATGTCGTATTGAAGTTACACCGGCCGACGAAGTTATAACTTCGTCAACTCATATTGACGAAGTTACAACTTCGACAATAAAATTTGTCGAAGTTAATTTTATTTCATTTATCAGTAAATAATTTACTAAAATCGAATATCATATTGCTGAATATATGATAAAAATTTTTTGCCAATAAATACTCTTTATTCAACAATATAGTTGGATAAATGGTATCCATTGGGAAAAAAATTTATCATATATTCAGCAATATGATATTCGATTTTAGTAAATTATTTACTGATAAATGAAATAAAATTAACTTCGTCACATTTATACGACGAAGTTGTAACTTCGTCAATATGAGTCGACGAAGTTATAACTTCGACAACATTCTTGACGAAGTTATAACTTCGTCGGTCGGTGTAACTTCGATACGACATATCCATGCAAAACAAATTGATATTAACTATTTTATAAAATTTAAAACACTACATGATCAGAACTTTTAGTTAACTCTTTGACGGCGAAGGCTGTATATATACGGCTTCAAAATTTGAATAGGTTAGTAAAGGCATTATACTTACTAGTTCCATCTATAGTATATAGCAATAACTTGATGAAGCTCACTAGCGATATGTTGTAAGCGTTTGGGATATCTTTCGTAAGGCACCATCATTGATTCATATGAAAACCAATCATTTTATTTAGCATTCGAGAATGTTTTGTTGAATTAGTATAAATAAGAGGTACCTCTGTCGTATAAATAATATATGGCAGTTCGATAAGATTATACTAAAGAATAGGCGATAACAACAATTGTTGTTACTAACCAACTTTACATGTTATTATCATTCATTTTTCATGTTTTGAAATTTTTTTCTGGATTATTAGGGCATTTAGTAGTACAACTAATTCAAATATTACTGAAACCTTTTCGAATTCTGAGTTGTATGATGAATTAGATGCTAATTCTGTTTGCGGCTTTGATAATGGATCGATTATGGGAGATGAAGAACAGGATACAGAGAGATCCTTTGAAGAGTGAACATAGAGAGTAGAATGATTCACACCAAAAATATTTACATATGACTCAAGTGAATCTGATATCATTTTGTATTTACCGAAAAATAATGAAAGTAGACCACTAGATTATTTTCATTTGATATTTTATCTTAGTCTAACGCAAAAAATTGACGAGGAGACACAAATATCATTTCTGTACAATGCAACATGAAAATCTACTTGAACGATACCAAGAAGCAATTTGTGCTACTGTACCCGAAATGTATACTATTTTTTGCTTCATGTGCTAATGGCTCATATCAAAATAAAACGAATAAAAGACTACTGGTCTACTGACCCTTTAATTTCCACACCTATGTTTTCAGATATCATGAGTAGAGACAAATTTCATTTACTTCTACGATTTCTACATTTCAATGACAACGAATATCGGCCGTCTGATGATAATCTATATAAATTCCAGTCAATAATTGCCTATTTACGTGATCGACTCAAAAAAATTTGGGTCTCTTATCCAAATTTATGCATTAATGAAAGGTTGATGCTGTGAAAGGTCGAGTTAGTTTCAAACAATACCTTTCATCTAAAAGGAATAGATTCGAGATAAAAATATACATTATATGTGATGTTTGCTCTGGAATAATGTTAGACTTCGATATTTGCACAGGAGCCATAACTGACATAATGAGATTTCCAGATGTCGGAATTTCTGGTTAAATTGTTATGACTTTGATGCAACCTTACTTAGATAAAGGTCATAATTTATTCCTAGATAATTGGTTCACTAGTCTTGCACTTTTTGAAAAATTACATGCAAGATCAACCGGTGCATAATGTCCTGTAAGAGTAAATAAAGTAGGCTTACCTAAGTTTGAAGACAATATTAGGAATGGTCAACAAACTTATAAAAGTACACATAATATGCTGGTACTAAAATGGTATGATAAAAGAGAAGTTATAATGTTATCTACTATGCATCAATCACATATGGGATTTACTGGAAAAAATGATCCAAAAACTAAACGACCAATTTTAAAACCAATGTCGATAATTGATCATAATTCTAAAAGAAGAGCAATTGACAAAGTTGACATGCAAACTAGCTTTGTTGCATGTGTAAGAAAATCTGTCAAATGAAACAGAAAATTATTTTTTCATATACTTGACTTATTTAGTCTTCAACTCGTATTTGCTTTTACAAAATGGAAACCGAAAAGAGACCTCAATTGGTAGACTTTTGTTTATAGCTTATACGTGAAATTTTACAAAGCTATCGTACTCCAAAATCTACAATTGGGGGACGTGTATAGGGTTGTAAACCAACTAGACTCACGGCTAGACATTTTCCTTCTTTTGTACCTCAAACAATGGAAAGAAAAATTCCTCAGAGAAAATATGTCGTATGTGCACATACTAATAGAAGACCTAAAAAACGAACGGATTGCCGTTATATGTGTAAAAATTGTTGTGTGGCTGTTGCATAGTTGGTTCTTTAGAGAAATTTTATACATTGGTAATTTTTTAGTTTCTTTTCTTCTCACGTGTTTTTTTTTTAAATTCAAAATAAACCAGCTGCATCTTTTAAATGAGATCTAAGTGCAACAATTATAACCATTAATAACTTTCAAAATATAATTAATTTTGGCAACATAATTTCACTTTCTTATGAAAAGGATAAGTCCGCCGTCAAAGGGTTAAATCTGGTACTGACACTAGTTAACAAAATCTAAATGAAATAACTAAGTAAGTTATGTATAAAATCTGCCATTGAGCATCTGTTTTTAACAATACAATAAGCAATAAAGGCAGATTATACACAATTTTGTAGAGCACTAAATCATTACATTGAATTGCATAGAATTTTTTCGCGCAATTAAAGACTCCGGTTTTTCTATGATGTTCAAACGTACAAGGCTTTCAAGATAGGTCTCATATTATATCCCATTTATGCCTTTAATTTTTCATTTAATAGATTTTTCAAGAACCCAAATGATTTTGATGACTTAGTAAGAGACTTTTAGAATTTTAAAAACCCAGAAATAATGTTCTACTCAATCTTCTAAGATTGCTTAGCTGAGAACGAGACATTCTCATGTAAATATACCAATTGAATTTCTAACTTTACGAGAAATAAGGTAATTCTAGAGCGTCTCTATCATGTTCAGTGTATCGTTCCTCTCAGAGAGAATTCTTCTAATATGGAGGATATTTCATTATGCGAAGAAATTTAGATAAATTTATTCAAAAATTACAAGAGAGAATTTTTTTATTACTTTATTTATTTTCATATCAATAATCAAAAACAAACTATTTATTAAATAAATCTCTCTTCAATATAAAATTTCTATAATTACAACAAAAAAACAAATAGCCTATATCATTTTTTTACAAAAATATTTTTATTTACGAGTTGCTTTGAACTAAAAAAAAGAAAAAAAACTTTTTAATATTGAATAAAGAAAAAAAACGAAACGAAACTAACTCGTTCAACAACTTGTTGACAAAATAATTGTTGTTGAGATGTCAATCGAATTTTTCCTTGACTAAGTCCATTCAGTAATTTATATAAAAGTTCTGATGCTTGTTTCGTTTCTCTAGAAAAAATAATAATAAAAGATCTCGCCAGATTTGGTGACCTATCTGGAACCAGAATACAATATATCTGTTTTTGTAGAGCAATTTGCGGCGTATCGAATGATATGTAAGAAATCAAGTCTTTCCCAAATTTTCATGTGCCAAGGGTCCATATATTGGTTATAATCCTTAGGCAATATATTTGATATTCATAGTCAGTTTAGTCTCTAAGATGTTCTAAGATAAACTTGTGTAAATGTTGTTTTTCAAATCAATTTGATACAGCTATAGATGTTCTTCATTTTTCTTTAATAAATAATTTTCATCATTTTGAGAAAAACTTGATTTTTGTGTACTCAAAAAGTGAGTACACTACTAAAATCGGTCAGTGTGTCCGTCCGGCCGGCCGTCCGTCCGTTTATCCGATAACTTTCGAAAGGAGAGTCGGATCGTGATGACATTTTCTACACAGTTCAGTCTTAACAATGTCTCGGTCGAGTTCGAAGATGAGCAGGATCCGTCAAGAAATGGCTGAGTTATCGAAAAAATTGTCATTATTGANAACTTCGACAATAAAATTTGTCGAAGTTAATTTTATTTCATTTACCAGTAAATAATTTACTAAAATCGAATATCATATTGCTGAATATATGATAAAAAATTTTTTCCCAATGAATACCATTTATCAAACTATGGAAATTGTTCATAAATTGCGAGAAGAAAATTGAAGATGAATAAATCAATATAAAAAATGTATAATTAGAAATAATAGAAATGTAGCTTTTATTCACTGAAATGTTGAAAATATTTGAACATTGATAATTCTTTTTTGTACTTATGTTCATGTACAACTGAACGATATATTATTTTAGCTAATGCATATGCTCATCAATTAATAATCAGAATAAATTTATCTGTTACAGTATAATATTCTTATTGAGACTTTCAAGTTATACAGTTTAACCCTTAATTAATTATTTTGGATAAACCTTTCTATTCTTAGTGTATATCTTAGACTTAATGACA